TAAGGCAACATTTTTTGGGGGTGAATTGTAACAATTATTGTGCTGGACGTTAAAGTTAAAAAAAAAAAAATTGCCATAAATAGAAAGCATTTAATGAAGAAAGAGATTTGACCAAACATTTAGTTACTATTATTAAAAAATGGTAAATCTTTTTATATATACTAGTACAGAGCCCGTGCGATGCACGGAGTGCACAATTTAAGGCCATATATCCAGCCTTATAATTATATAAATGAATAAAAAAAATGTAGGGATATATATAGTACGTGACCTGTGCGAAGCAGGGAATATATTCATTTGAGGAGTATTATAATTTAATATGCAATATTCAATAAAAGTTGTACAATATACAGGAAAATTATACAATAAAATAGTATTGAAAAAAGAAAAAATCATATATTATTAAAGACCTCCTTGTACACAACAATATGAGTTTGATTATCGGGTAACTCCTCATTCTCACAAACTAATATCTTCAACCCCTTCTATTAGTCACACGCGAAACAGCAACATATAATTGACCATGACTAAAGACAGGCTTCTTTAAAAAAAGACCAACGTGGGATAAAGACTGTCTCTGACTCTTATTTATGGTCATGGCATACGAAACCATAAGTGGGAACTGCCGCCGCTGAAACTTAATTGGAACCCTAAGATCAGAAAGAGTAATATTCATTATAGAAATCAACATTGTGTCGCCAGCATGATCACCATTCAATATCTTGCATTACAGACAAAAAAACAATAAGCTTGGATCATCTATATTTCACATCTTTTAATAAGTGACGTTTATTTAAGCCAAAATATTAACATGTTAATTAATATATAATTCTGCTAACACGTTATACTAATATTTATTTGATTTTAGAATACATATTTATTCATTGATATAAGAAAAAATACAAATTTTATTAATTATTGTTCACCATATAATACTCAATTATTATTTTATTATAAAATTTACAGTCATATAATGTAATTATTATTATTTATAAAAGTCATAGAAGTAGTCTTCTTTATGTAATGAAATTCAAAATAAAATTTTGAGTATAAATGTTTACAAAATACACACACATGTTTTTTAGAATTCAATTTTCTCATAATAATTCTTTTTTTCATCCTAAGGCTTTATAGTTTATTTAACATACTATGCAATAGACAAATATTTACAATAAGTTCATTTTTGAAACATAACAAAAAAAAAAGTGATAAAAATACTATCATAAATGGCAATAATATACAAATAAATAACATGTCGAAGTTTTAAAGAATAACTAATATAATTTTATTATCTAACCATCAATAAAATCGTTTAATGATGTGATCATTATCTTTTAAATAATAAATAATATTAATTTTTTAAAAAATATTAGTGTTATATAATTAAATAAAGGTTAAAAAATATTACTCGACAAATATTAATTATAATGGATATCAGTAAAATCATTGCATAAATTATTTAAGAAAAAAAATTTTAAGATCATATTTGGATAGTAAATGTAAATATGCAAGCATTTAATGCATATAGTAAAAACTTTCCAAATAAAGTATGCATTAAATGTGTGTTGAATTTTCTTGCTACTGTTTTTGGTAAATAGGTTGGCTTTTAATATATATATAGATATAGATATTTTGGGGTAGAAAAATAATTAACTTGCAATTGTGGGGCAAGTTTAGGAATCC